GAGCACACCGTTAGGTTAACGTTATGGAAGGATGATCGTGCTCACCGATGTTCCAGCATGTGCTTGGTCCATGCCTGCGTTCTGGCGCGGCACGGTCTGTGGAATTCTGGAATGGCAATGGAAAACACGACATAGCTTTTTTAACCAAGTATTTTTAGCCAATGAAAACTACTTGGACGATTTGGAATAAAATTATTTCGACAAAGTTCAACTTGGACGATCATGAGAAATTTTGGCCTTGGTTGGACGATCCTGGGAAATACCCATTTGGCCATAGGGGTGGCCGCTGAGATGTATCTTGATTTTTGTATGTGACTCTTATCCGTATATAATATCCGGAGGCAATTGGGACCTCCCACTGCAGTGATAAAACGCATGAAATCAGTATTTAACGTATTTTGTTTTTGGGTTTAACTACATTAATTGTACGTTAAATAATAAAACCTCCACTCCTCGATTTGGCCAGTTGGAAGTTTATAGATGACGTGCCCCATATACGTATATTAGTAGTATACGGTACAGTGCACATGTACTACTGTACACATAAAAGACAGACTGTCAAAAACGCACTGACTGTCCTGTCCTGCTGACACTGTACTGTACACCCGGAACAGAATATTCTTCCGATGGAACGAAGGTGTTCGTTGACACCAACTGTATGAATACCACTCGATCTCTTAATGTATCCTCTGACATTTTCAAGCTTGGTTAAGGAGAAAGTTCATGTCGTACACCCGCGGCGGCGGCGCCGTGGTCATCCCGTCGGTCGTCCTCCGCGATGCCACCGACGACATGGGGAAAGCTGATTCGTTTAGTCGACGTTGATGCTGCAAACGAGCGTGGAAGATCGCGTCTTCGTACGGGAGTCGATGATGAAGGTCTTGACGATCAACTTGGTCGCGGCTGGCTGCGTTCATGTGGCGAAGTTGGGGAAGTGTGGGTGAAGGTGTGGCGTAGTACTCATCAGGTCGATGTTTGTGCTGCAGAATCTTGAGCTTTTTGAGCGCCCGCTGCTGTTGTCGCCGTTTTGTTGCGTAGATCTTTTGAATCGAATTGGCTTTCGTGCGGTGGAATTCACACAGCGAGTGCGCTTCGCCGTCCTTCTTCATGGAGCGGGGATGAAAGCACGCCTTGTATGGGTACTTACACCGCTGGTCCTCCCGAGGTGCCGATGACGGAGACGGCGGCGGCGGCGGCGTGGGGGACGATGGCGAGGCGTCGATGGATGTCATGGGGATTACAACTTGTCTGAAGTGTACAAATCTAAAAGTGAGATGGGAGGGCGTTCGCCCAACTTGAACTCAGAACTAAACACATGCATTTTGGTTGACCTCGGCGTTCGGAACGTGTTTCGAACATATGTTTGAAATTGTATTTTAAAAGCTCAAATCCACGAGTTTCCAAGCGCTAGGACGGCGTGCTTGAGCTGGAGGGCGTGGCAAAACCATCTGCGGGTTCTCGATAAGTTCTATCGCAGGTTGGACACCAAACGACTTCAAAGTGTATGCTTGGAGCATTGAGCATTTGTCGAAACGCTCGCATATCACTCGTCATGCTTTGGACATTGACAACATTTAATTCATGGTAGTACTGCAGTGGGGTGAGATTTGGAATGGTCTTCTCAAACGCCTTGGATATGAGAATCCTTGACGCACATACACTAGACAGGGATAATAAATATTTCTATACCGTAACTATAAGCATTTCCTGCACTTGTTGCTGGTGTTGGCTAATAACAACTTCCAAAGCGAAAGCTGCGTGTTGATGCCACGAACTTCAGTGAGCCGTGAAAAACCTTGTGTTGATTCGCAGCCAAATTCCACACTTTTACAGGGATTTGTGAAAGTACTTTTCGACTGTACCTTTCAACCTAGTGGTACTGTAGATTCGTCTGGTATCCAGTGTGGGGCAAACCCCAGAAACTTGTGATCTCCAGATGGGTTCATTGCAGAATTACTGTAACTTACAACAGGGGGACTTCACAGTTCGGAAGACTCAGTGTTCCAAAATACTACCGGTAGTACTACTTCAAGTACAGTACAGTACTACTGGTATTGCAGTACCGTAAGCTTGCCCTGGGGTACTAACTAGTACACAACACCAGAGTGAAAATACGAATCAAATGGAGCACCCGTGCATTATCGTAGCGACGTGCCATACTAGTATGTAGGTATATACTGTAAAGAACTGGAGAATCGTTATACCAGTATTTTGCACGAATTGGGAGTCGATAACTTTTTTTTCGATGTCCTTAGTCATTCCAGTTGTAGTTCGTGGCTCGTAGGGGTACAGTATTTTGTGGCTCGTAAGCGCTCGTACAAAGTGCACGCAAATCCAGCTGGTCCTAATAGAGTTGGATATGTTAAATGCACTATCACCACTCCTCCCACTCATATCGCCAATCACCTTATCATCGACCACACTGAAATCTCGAAGTAATATTTAATGGACTAAAATGACCAAACCAGAGGTGACTTTACGTACACTCTAACTGTATTTATGGTGATGCGACCATGTTACTATAAGCAGATACTACTCGCTCATGGAATAATTCTCTCATTAAAACAATGTACCAATGAGGAAATAATCCCATCCGGATACCCTTTTTCGCCCGTAGCCCCGTAGCCCGACTCCATCCTATCCTCAATAAGTACCTACGATGCTAAATCCCCGGGGTTGACTGCATCACCAGTGGTTAGCGATTGTTAACCACTGAGATGCACTTAACCCCTAAGCTTACAGTTAGTAAGAAGTGACTAATTAATTCCCCAATAAACACTCAAATAATTACCCAATAAACACTCAAATTGCAATGTTTTCTGAGAACACAAACAGTGGTACTGTTTTAATGAGGGAATTGTACTCGCTCACGTTAGTCATGAACATCAAATGTTGTTGGTTGTAGCGGGGTGATAGCTGTACAGTGTAGATCGAGTGTACCTGCTCGCCACTAACTGGAAGTACTGTACAGGTGAGCTTAACTCAACGACTGGGTCATCCGACTTTCGACCAAGAGTAGGCAAGATTTTATCTCGAAGTAGCAATAGGTATTGTGAATAAGCCGCGCTTTTCTTGGCGATACTACTACTACTGTATGAATACTGTGCTTTGTGTAGTATCAGCCCACACAAGTCAAAGTCAGCATGGACTTGTCAGAATCCCCAGAGCCCACGACAATAATACCATTACGTCCGTGTGTGTTGGGTGATTTGTGCATGTCGCGTGGAATTCAAAATTCATCACGATGTGTGAACTTTGATGGGTGATGGTTTTGCGTTACATCACTTTGCCGTTTGGTCAAGGGAAGTAAGTGCGGACACGAAAGCAGTGTCCACCCCATTCCACCGATTAGATATGATACATTGCACCGTGTCAATATCGCCCCCGTTTTTGCCTTGTTGCCCAAACCACCTCGAGCATTTCGCCGCTTGCGTGTGTACCAGTGCAAAAAGGACGCGTTTCGAACGTGTTCGTAAACAGCAGTCAAAACCTCAAGCCTATCACACATTTAATTCAATCGACTACTACTGTACATGCTCGAGTTGGATTGGCTGGATTTCTGGAATGGACCAATCACAGCACAGGAAACTTGGGCGGTTTCTTCATAGCTGGTCATCAAACCATGGCAGGCACCAGCTCGACGGTGGAAATCCTTCCTGACCGTCTGTACATGCACTTGTCGGACGATGATATAGGTCCAGTGCTGCCCCACACGACGTACTTGAACGTTAGCCCTGACGTGCTCGTGTATATCAACTACTTTGACGACTTTGGACCTCTGCACCTTGGCCATACCTTTCGGTTCTGCGCAGTACTTTCAGACCAACTCACGGCAGCCAAGACGGCCCACGTGCAACTACATGTCCTTGTGTCGTCGACAGATATCCATGCCCAAGTCAACATGGTACGATCATGTCATCATCAATCGTTGTGTAAGCCTGCGTGCAGGTGTGTTTATTAGCGTGTTGGGGAGTTCTGTACAACCGCCAAGCACCCGAGTCGGCTGTCCAGCCCTTCCGCCACATGAACCTCCCATCCTTTCACGATGCTACCGACGAAGCATGTCCGTTTCAAGTTGCTGTCGTCGACGTCGTTCGCGGCTTCCATCGAGCGCTTTCCCTGCAGGCAAGACAGACTATGTACAGTCGATGCTGCTGCTCCCAAAGCAGTCCTGTATTGTTCTTGGATTACTTTTGTGCTGATTCGTCAAATCCACCATCGATCATCGCTTCGTTGTATTGAATTTTGTATATAAAGTCATGTGATTGGTATCACACTAATTGAAGTCACACACTAATAATTTGACGTTCACGGGGGTTTCCTGCAACGTGATTGGCTCAATCTCTGTACACTGATGTGGTTGTGTCGTCGATTCATTCATTCTCCAGTTTACAGTTCGAAGAAACACAACAATATCACATGGTTTCAGTGCATACGTAGTACTGTATCTCACATGGCTAGGACCGCCTTCACAACGATGTACATACTGTGTAGTACACATGCCGTCAATCGTTTAACGTTGCCGACTACCTCCACTACGAAAAGGTGGAACATGGCGATTTGAACTGGATCAGTCCAAAGTTCGTCGCGTTTGCTGGGCCCCAAGACGTGGCAACACCTGACGCGACCACGCACCCGCCGGGTTTTTTCATTCCGATGTTCATGAAAGCGAATGTGACGCTCGTGGTTCGACTAAACGAGGCGCTGTACGACCCGTCGCCGTTTCGAAGCGCGGGTATTGCCCATTTGGACTTGGGGTTTCCCGATGGAGCCAACCCCCCGTCGGCTATCCTAAGGCGATTCCTCGCGGCCTGCGAAGCCACGCCTGGCGCCGTCGCAGTGCACTGCAAAGCTGGCTTGGGACGCACGGGCACGGTCATTGGATGCTACATGATCAAGCACGACGGGTTCAAAGCCAAAGACGCAATTGGATGGCTACGGTACGACGGCGGACACAAACGTCCAACGAACTTGAAGCATCTGTCCGTGATAGCTTGTGTCGCCCGGGCAGCGTCATTGGTGAACAGCAAGACTACATGCTTGACATGGAGCGCAAGATGATCAAGGCCGCCGCCCCGCGACACGTCGTCAGGACCACAAGGACAACGCCGCAGAAACGATCGCTTTCGGTATGTCACGATCAGGCGGTTCGAATTGGATGACATAGGAGGGTGGTGAATACGTATGTAGATGGCGGCAGATGCCTCTCGGGAAGTGAAAAACCAAGGCGACCGGCTGCTGGTTGCCAAGCGCAGGCATATCAAAGACCGAGCTAACGCGACTGCATCGGAGGCAGCTCATATTGTGCAGACCATGTCGTCTAGATAACGCGCTTCTCCGTCCAAGCCATCCTACACAGATACATGCATGGCCTTCATCTTCGTCGCTCCATCATCGTGATGTTGCCGAACGCTCCTCAAACGTTCGATTGGAGAGAGGGCAACGTAGAGTGATGGTAGACCTACATTCATGAATCATTAAATACCAAAGATTTTAACCCCGCTACAAAGACACAGATAAACGTGGCGAATTCAAATTCCATGTGCAGGTCGCAGCCATGTGGGCGTGTATTTCCTTCCTGGCCATCATACATGAGCACATTGGACAAAAGCCGCCACTGTCCGCCCACAGACGCCTTACGTCCACGGGAAGCACCTAGTTCCACAGCGGAGGCTTCCGCGAGTCACCCGTACATGGAGATTCTGCGTCCCAAACGATTCCTTCCCGATGAAAACCACCACCCTGTCAACGACGATCCAGTGACCGCGCCTGCGCCCAAAAAGCGGGCCCTCGGAGGCAGCGGCGCCACCTTTCCTTCCCCATCGACAACGTTGCCATGTGCGCCCCGATCCTCGTCTACCCAGTACCCAGTCATGCAACCTAGCACACGCCTCCCCAAAATCAGCCCCGTCGTCCTCGTGTTGAAGAAACGTCCTCTGGACACCATCTCCGAAGCCGCACCGGCCCCAGTGCCGAGTGTATCGGCGACAAAGTCGGCTGTTTCGCACCAGCAACCACCCCAGCAACCACATCAACCACAACAACCACCGTCGCACCCAATGCTCCAGTCCGAGAAACTGCAATCCGTTCTGCGCGGCCTCTTCCACGTCGCGCAATGCTCAGACGGGTGTTCCAACAAACTATGCCAATCCACCACGGCCTTTGTCACCAAGGTCCGCGCGCACTTGGCGTCGCAGCTATCGTCGCACGACCGATCCAGTTGCGGCGCATGCAAACTGTGGACCATGATCGCGGACGAACACCGCAAGGACTGCCTGGATCCGCTTTGCCCCATTCCGCTCTGCAAGCGCACGCTGTACATGTGAGCCTTCCCACCGTAGACATATCTTCCCTCCATCGCCCATTTCCCTGCATGCTCCGCTGTCCAACACATGTGCTGCCACCCGTCCGCCGCGGCGTCCCATGGCGCGTTCCAGTCCGATGCCGAGCGCGCTGCCATGTGCCCACCTCTGACCCTTGATAACACTGTCCTACTGACCACCCATTCCGTCTAAAGTGTTGAACCCATGGACATATATCCTCGTAACCTATAAACAAGTGCTGATTTGGTTCCATTGGGGTATTGTTTATGTGTTTATATTCTAAACTGGAGCGCAACATAATGGATCAACATAACCAATAAATAGATGGACAGAAGAATCGACAAAAGGATTTAACCAATCAGATTGCAGGAACCCGTCATCAATACCAAATTAGTGTGTGAATTCAATTAGTGTGATACCCATCTACGCCTTTTTACATACAATATTCAGTATAAGAATCGATCGATAAATAGATAGTCAGCCCAAAAGTCGGGTAATAGGACAATACAAAGTGACGTTTGACGACTTTGTCGTTTGCGGACTGGAGGTTGGGTGAATTATATTGGCGATTCCGTGAAATATATCGGACGTTGGTGGAAATAAATATATTGAAAATAAGCTGTAATTAAACGCAAAATGGTGGAGTACTCACTAACGTTATTAGTTTTTGATGAAATCCCATCACACCCACATAAAAGCCGTTATTGCCCTTTACTCGTTCATCATGTCCTAGTATTTCATCCGTGCCTGTCCTCCACACTAATAGATGGCTACAGTACTATAATACACACTACGACGCGATATATCATCAAATTTGCACTAAGTTAGCGGCGACTACCCCCTCGCAGCGCCTTGTCCATCGTCTCCTCGCTGGCCAAAGATAGGCATGAGGTACTTTTCGTCCACAGTCGTCCACAGCCCTTGCATGCCCCCACCATGAGTCGACCCTTGATGGCCGCCCGCCGCCGTCCGCCGCGGGTCTTCATCAGCATCATCGTCTTCCATTTCATCCAACAGCTTGACCGCTTCGGGGCGCAGCGACATGGTCGTCGCCTTGGCCAGCCCCAAACTCGTCAAGAGCGGTCCCGTGAGCATCCCAAACACCTACATATGTAGATTGGTCACGTTTTGTGATAACATTTGGCGTCACGCACCAACGTCGTACTCATGACCGTAAACAGCGTGCTGCTCTTGATTACGCCGGCGTGATCTGTGTGGATGGTCCACACATTGAGCGCCAACGCAAACGCAATCGCCCCACGCAACCCCGAGAACCAAATCACGACCATAAACTAGACCAATCAAGTCACAAAACCATGTGAATCTTCACCAAACGTGGTTAAGACAACGTACAGACACTGGAATCTGCTCCTTGCGGCCCAAATTTGCCAGGATGCACAGTGGAAATGTATTGGCGGCTCGCGCTACCAGCAACACGAGGAGTTGCCATCCAATGAACGCCCAATCCCACGTGAACGCGCCCGAGTAAGCCACGACAGACACCCCCAGGTACAGAAAGATGAAGTTCTCGGCCAGAAATGCGAGGGTGCTTAGTAGGTGCTTGAGGGCGGCGGCGCTTTCGTGGCTAATTGTGGTCAAGTGGTAGTGACTCATGAGCACTCCACTGAAAAAGAGCGCTACGATGCCGCTGAGGCCAGCCAAGTCGCCCACCACATAACTACACACAACACCCACGATTTTATCGATGGTATCAATATATATATATATATATATATATATATGCTGCCAAATAGTTCTAAAAAATAGGAATAAAAAACAGGTTGGGGCGGGCGATGTATATATACCCCCATTTGTCACAAAACACATACAGCACATCCCTCCAACACGGCAAACTCGGAGATTCAACGACATAGTTAGAATAACATGTACGAATCCAAGACGACTTTCCAACCAGGTGAACCAAGAAACCAAATCGCAAAAAACTTCATATCATTGTGTTATACTGCCCTGTTCTTAAACCAAACTGTACTTTATAAAAGTATATTGACCTTCATATCCACAGCAGCTTTATTATTAAAAATATTCAAAGTATTCAAAATATCAAAATATTAAAAATATTAAAAAAACAATTCGTAGAAAACTGGTCTTATCAAATCGATTCGAAACTGGAGTTCGGAATGTCGCTCGCGAATCGATTCAAGAACGGCCTGGGCCAATGAAATCACGTCATGGCGAATTTCTGCCAATCCAAACGTTTAACCTCCATCTTTTTCATTGGGCTAAACCACATACTGTATATAGTGTGTACAAGATTAAATAGCAAGCAAATCACTCTCTCTTACATTTGGGTGAAATGCACAATATGGATAGATTAATAGTTGATTTCGATGTATGTACTTACCTGATGTACGCCGACAGCAGGATAATGGAGATTTCGTACGTCGGGTAGAGCTGTAATGCTGGGTCTGCATGTTTGAGCAGGAACGCCGAGAGGAGGCAGACGACGGCGGCGAGTAAGATGGAGCCAAAGAGGATCACAATCACTTGGAGAATGACGTTGGACGCGGCGTGCGAGTTGATCTCGTGGACGCCTTGCCGGATCGATTCTTGAAATAGCGTAAACACTACAATGGCTACAATTCCAGGCATAAGTACGAGAGAATACGCGACGACGGGAAATAGTGTGTGTCTAAGAAGGTCGTTCATCCTACCCACGCCATCGTTGAGCACGCTTTCGCCAAACACGAGGTTGAACAGCATGGGCGGCGCGTCCGACTTTTTGAACACCGACAACGTCGCGACGGGATCCACGGCGGAGATGAGTGAGCCGTACAAGTACGCTTCCGCGGGAGTCAGAGGGGTGATCCATCCGAGGTGGCCAAGCCAGATGAGCGCGCCGCCCGTGACAAATGTCGCCACTAGCGTCCCGACGATGGCGAGGAGCAGGATCGTGGAAAAGTTGGAGAAGAAGCCCTAGACTCGCATGCATTGATAAGAAGGTGGATCGAAGGGATGATATGACGTGCCCGTTTCTTCATGTTGAAGCCGGCTTCGAGGATGATGGGAGGCAATAAGCCAAAGAACAGCACTTGGGGATTCAACCCCATGGCATCATCTTGTACTGGGGTGAAGAACTTGAGCACAACGCCAAACTACAAGGCAATAAGCTTCGGTCGAACGAAATATCTGTACAAGATGGAGGTTAAGAAGGACGTACGCAAAGGCCAAAGAAAATGGCGCAGGCCGACTCGGGGATGAACCACTGCTGCGCAGTGGACCTGTCGAGGCGGTAGGCGAGGAACACGAGGATGAGCTGGAGCACGGCACACACAAGCAGTTCCACGCCTGTCCATGCCTGCTCTTCGTGAGCTCTCAGCGCGTTGACTTCGCTCGGCACCATGACCTTGGTGGGAGTATGCCGTCCGAATCAAGATTTTATTCGACATTCCAACAACGAATGCCGCGCTTTCGAAAATTATTACATACTTTGTTCAAGTCAAGAATAGATAATTAAATGAAAGTTTCCACCAATGAAAGCCTTCCGTTGACAAGTTGAAGCGAAAATCGAATGCTGACAGCATTTTCATTTGCATCACGTCCTGTAGCTAGCTGGTTTAGGCTACACACTTCATGGCTAGGCCCAACGAACCGCAGCATATAGCAGGTATACTCATATCTTTTGGGACTTTTGGAAGACGCGAGGCAGTGTGATTCTGACATGGGTTTAGAAACTCTACTCGCCAAAGCTCTGGTTGTCGAAAGCTGATGAGTTGCAAGATTTGTTTAACTTTAGTACTTTCTAACGTATAACTCCAAATATATGATCTTCTGTGATTTCAGAGAAATCCTTCATAAATAAGGCTGCCGTCTCCACGGCATGTATCCATAGAGCATGAACACTTTCGAGTACTTCAAACTGCCAGTACGGTTCCGCCCAATTGCCCCTGGCCTTGACCGGTCGTGTGAGTCGGCTGCATGAACTTCCAATCGATGGTTGATCGTATACAAGTAACGGTGCGATCTCCCCCAATGCCATCTGTTAATCCAAGTGCACCCCAAGCGGCGCACCATATTGTGGCTTTTCCGGCCTTTGCAGAGTCCCTTTTACATGTGATTGTGAAGCAGCAATTCATTGCATCGGCCCGACCTGCATCACTTTTCCATTTGCAGCCACCCCCACAAGTCCAATCAACATCACGCAAGCCGCGTTGGTGCTCTCTCTCGCTGCGTCGGCCGTCGCCGCTTCCAAAGTGTCCGTGCGTGTCGACCAGTTCTTCGAGTCCGGTACTGAATCCACCCTCAAGGCCAACGTCCTCGTCAAGTTCAACGTGGCCATTGCGGCCCTGGAGACCGGTGCCAAGGCGTCGACGGCCCCCCGCCAGTACGTGTTCGACTTTTTGAAGGAAGCGGCCGAGAAGAACGAGGCCAAGTTGGCTGGCTTGGTGCCTGCGGACGCCACCGTGACAAGCTTGTTCATCGGAGGCGCGGCCTCCATCTCGGGGGTGACCAAGGCCACGTTGGACGCGCTCACGGCGCTCAACGTGGTCACGTACGTCGACTTGAACGCCAACGACTTTTCCCGTCCGGAAGTGTTGCAAGGCTCTGCTTCCACCGAGGAGGACGTGGCGGCCACGAACGAATGGGGGGTCGACGCCGTGGGGGGCCCGGAGATCTGGAATTACACGACGGGCCAAGGCGTCGTGGTCGGCTCGATCGACACGGGCGCCATCAACACCCACGAGGCCATCAAGCACAACTACCGCGCCGAGAACGGCTGGTTTGACCCGTACAACAAGACGTCGGACTCGGACGGCCATGGAGCGCACACGATCGGGACCACGGTGGCTCGCACGGCATCGGTGTGGCCCCCGGCGCCAAGTGGATTGCGTGCATGGGTTTGTACAAAAAATCGGGGACAGGGGAAGCCTTGTTGCAGTGCGCGCAGTTCATGCTGTGCCCCAGCAAGCCGGACGGCACTGGCGCCGACTGCAAGCAAGGGCCCCCACGTGGTCAACAACAGCTGGGGTGCCGATGCGGCGTACCATCCGTGGTTCGAAGCCGCGGTGGCGGCGTGGAAGGCGCCGGGGATCATCCCAGTGTTTGCCAACGGCAACTAAGGCCCAAAGTGCGGCACCGTGGGTGTGCCTGGTGGGTACAAGACGGTATTGATATGGGGGGATGGGATCGTTCACTAACGAAGAGGACAAACTCGCCTTCTTTTCGTCCAAGGGTCCCCAAGCGACCAATGGACCTGCGTACGTCAAGCCCGACATCTCGGCCCCCGGCTTCTTCACCCGATCCGTGAGCCACCTCAACAACACGGGGTACATACACATGGCCGGGACGTCCATGGCAGCCCCCCACGTCGCCGGTGTCATGGCCCTTCTCAAGAGCGTCGACCTACGACGCCGTGTACAAGTACTTGACTGCCACCACGGACCAGGCGGGGCTCCACACGACCGAGCCAGCGTTTTGGCAGTTGCGCGGTAACGATACCCTTCCTGGCTCCCCCAACTGCGGCGGCGTCAGCGACTCGGAGTGGCCCAACAACCGCTTTGGCCACGGCCATGTCAACGTCGGCACCATCCTGCGCGACGGCAAGCTCAACGACAACCGTCGCCCCACGTGCTAAGCGTTGATTGACCCAGCCTATAGATTGTAATATTGATGTGGCTTGTGAAGTTAGCCAAGCGATGTGCTGTTTCCTTACTATATCTATGAAATCAAACTCCACTCGGCTACTTGCAATGCATTCACGTCTTCGGCCTTTTGCAACATGATGAGGTCCAAGAGGTGCTACATACACTAGCCCTCGCGTGACTTGACATAAAGAAAATAGATTTAAACAGCGGCTTGCCTTGTCGACGAAATAAACACACAAATCTAGCCTCTACGACCGCGAAGAAACGGTTGAGGTTGTGCGGCGGTAGATGGGGCTGCGCGGGGTGCTGGCTGTAGCGCCGGGCGATGCAGCTGCACTTTTTGCTGCACCTGGTTGGCTACCTTCTTGGCTACTTTCTTGGCAGCAGTCTTAACGCGAGTCTCGACATTGTTGGTCGCACTTCGAACTTTTGAGCCGAGTCCGCCGTCTTTGGCCAAGTTCCACGCCCCTTGAATGGCTTTACGGGGGTCTCTTCGGTTGTCATAGATAGCTTTTGCTTGGTCGAATCGCTTCACCATTTGTTGGCCTTTGGCGGCTACTGCCACTCCTCGCTTGCCGAACGCACCGTCTTGCGCCATGTCCAGAACCCCCGCGATGGCTCCACGAGGATTTTTGCGGTTGTTGTAAATGTTTTGCACTTGCTCGGCGCGATGCATAACTCTTTGTCCCTTGCTAGCGACGTTGGCCACTTTCTTGCCCAGCATACCACTGGCCCCCAATCCCAACGCGGCGTTGGCGAGTGCTTTGGGGTTCTTCCGGGTGTCGTAGACAGCCTTGACCTTTCCGACCTTGTCAATCACTTTTTGCGCCTTCCCAGCAAAATTCTGGCCCCCCTTCCCTAGCATGCCACTGCCGGCCAAATTGAGGCTTGCTCCAAGCAGCGCCTTTGGGTTCTTGCGGGCGTTGTACACTGCCTTCACTTTACTGACCTTGCCAGCGACCACTTGAGCTTTAGCTCCCAACGCTCCTTGGCCAGCCAAACTAAGGCCAGCTCGAAATAGCCCGCCCTTGCCCTTGGCGTTTTGTAGTGTGTTGATCATTTGGGCACCTTTGGCAACCAATCCGATGGGACCGGGGACGAATTGAAGCCCCGGAACCTTGCCCACGACCGCTGTTGCTTTGCCCACGACCTTCAACCCCTTCTTCGCCACCTTTTTGACCTTCTTGAAGATTTGCTTCTTCGCTGGCTTGTTGTGTTGGCCCACTTGCATGTAGTCGCCGCGACTTCGCCCGACTTGCCGTGGCGTGGCACCTCCTTGACGGTGTTGTGCGTCATTGTTGATTGTACGAGTACGAGATTCTCTGTAAGGTTGAGCAGGTTTGTGAACATTGCTGCGCTTCTTCGGCTTGGCTGAGTGGCCGGGAGCTCGTTTGGGACCCGCCTCGCGCCTCGACCCATTGCTACTTGATCGATACGACTGGGCCTTATTGTCTCGCACTGGCTCCAGTACAGCGACGTCCGTGTCGTAGCGAAGGTGACGGTCAGTTGAGTCGACGACTACATCATGGGCGTATTGGGCGGTCGCACACGACGCCAAGCCCAGTAGGGCGTAGAGGACGAAGGCTACCCGCATGTTGCGGTCTAGTGAGTGCGTTCAAAAGTAGGCAGGATCTGCACCTGTCGAACGAAAACACCACCAAAGGAGGATATCATTGATAGCCAGATATTTGTCGTCAAAACGTAAGCCTTATTTTGTCGCTGGTCGTTATCAACTCGCTTCTGATTGGTCCGTTTAGGAAGCATTGCACCAATGACCTTTGTTCGCCAGGATTTGGGATGGAATTGAAGCAACATTTGGACTGCCACGTAGGTAATAAATACTATGAATAGGTGGCGCCATCAACAACAACGACGAGCGCACTGTGGCTGACTTCGACCTCGGCATGCAAAATGCTTGCCAATGCTGTTAGGGGGAACTTTGTAGTCGCTTGTAGAACCTGGTAACTTGGGAACAATCACGACGATTGCACAGTTGTACTGTAGGACTTACTACAGTAGTACATTTGTACTTTGTAGTCCTTGTGGTACCTGTGGTACACAGTACAACAGTTCGAACTTAACTGAATTATCATAGTAGTACTCCTACTAGGACTACTCTGCGACGATGGCGTGATTTCATTGAAAACATCGTCGCTATTTACTCACACTTCGACCAAAGAAATACACCGTCGCATAGAATTCGACCTTGGTCCAACACGCAGCGGCTTGTAATCCAATTTCGTTTAAACACGACAGCCGACGCAATGCCTAACTATAACGAAAAAGGTTCGACCTCGGCAAGACCGTGTGCGGCACCACGACACCCCCCCCCCGAGAGCAAACAGCGATCGCCCCCCCCCTTTCGTCCGTCGTCATTTGAACGGGTGGAAGGCAAGGGCTAACCTCAACAACTCCAACGCTCGTTCGTTCGTTGCTGTCAACTGCTTTGCTATCGCGGGGGACGTAGAATCCAATGTTATGTTCGCAACGATATACCTGTGCAGTGTATTCTAGTATGTAGCTACTGCTGCTGCTGCAGTCAGAGTACTATAATCCTCTGAGGTCTCATCACGCGTCCCACAAGGTTTTACCAATGTACATCGTACATAGCCCCCAACTAGTGTATTGAAACACCAATAGTCTTTTCAACGCAAAGGCATGTGGTTACAAAGGTGGTTAGCAGCTATGACTCGTGTTGGCCTGCGACAATGCTCTGAATTTAAAACATACCAGTATTTATTTACTCACAACTCGACCAGAGAAATATAAACAGCATCAACCTTCCCAACAACCAAATTGCCGCAGACAAGTTAGGGCATCAGCTGCAACGATGGTTGGTGAATCAAAACCATATATATACTAATCGTTGTATCGTATAGTTTGTACAAGCTTAAATCGGATCAAATGGATTCAAATGCTATTTGGCGAAATCACTCGCCAGTCCAAATTTGGATGAAATGCACAATAACGTTATCAACCAAACAAGAAAGGCATCGATATATTATTGCAGTTGTAGCAAATTCTTATCATCCCATAGCTGACAATGCTGTTCCAATCGAAACCACTCGGATGCTCTGTGTTATCGTTCAACAGTTCGACACGGTGTAATAACAGCATGCGTAGTGTAGGATTCGAGCTCGTCATGTGCTTACTCTTTAATCGCGAACTCAAGACTACAAGATTGGAAAGGGCCGATGTTATATGACTGCATATAGACTTATTTGTCTAGTAGTATGCTGCAGGGATGTATTAGCCTTGGTAGATGTCGTAATAATCCACATGGGAGCCGGAGACCAGCGTCGGCCCAAATACATGCGACACACACAGCTGCGCCGACACATTCACATCGACATATGTGCCCTACAATAACAAGTACATTGGTCTTAACGTTATAATATACATGAGACATATAATCATATTTCATTCAGTATATACCAACGGAAATATACACTAACTTGTCGATGCAGGACTGATATCTAATTGAATGAGCTTACATCGGCTTGGAGCTTTTTAAACATGCGCTGGAGGGCCGGGTCCGTCGCATGTCCATCTCGGATCTACGTTGCATCCATGAATATAGTAATTATATGCGTATATATATATATTTATAAATAGTAAAATCGCCCACCTCGTTTCCCATTTCCGTTTGCATGGGTCCTGGCGCGTAATTGAGGCATTTCACACGCGTCGCGTCTTCTTCCGTGGCCACCACTCGGAAATGCATGTCGCGAGCCGCTACAAGACCGGAAATAATAAATAAATATAGATATAATATACATAATAGAGAATATATATATAATACATGATATATATGAATATATATAAATATATATTCAATTTTGAACGAGTTTTCATATGTATTACAGTATCAATGAAGGACGAGTCATGTCAACCAATCATCCGTACCTTTGAAAACACAGTAGAGTCCACAGGTGGCGAAGGGTTCAATAGCGTTTAACGAACTAACGTTGATCAAGTAGAGCACTGGTGATGGCACTACAGCACTTTATATCAATTTATAACTGAAATGGGATTGTACATACCTTTAGCTGCCTGAGCTTGGGTGCCATACACTTGCAAGAGTCTAGATATATACACTATGGTTAGTCGAAGTATGGACATTTGATCTTGCCGTTTGTTGATCCATAGTACGGAATTCACGTTCAGTTCCATGTGCCGTCGAATCACTTGGGGAGATGCCACTTCGGCAATGCGTCCCACTTGGCCCAAGGATCCAGCGTTGTGGAACACCACGACACGGTCGACGGACGCGGCTGCTTGTGCTTCCTCAACGAACGTGTCGATGGCAGGTCCGTACGTGGAGTCGTCGCTCAAGTCCACGACGGTCTGCGTCACATGGATGCTATGGCTGGTCTGTACAGTGCAGGTGAATCATATGAGCTTGATCAAGTACCCTAGCTCGAACCCATACCTGGCGTTGCCAAGCAGCAGTGACGTCGGCCGCCGTGGCTGCCATACCAGCCGCGTCACGGGACCACAGGTGCTACAGATTCGATGAGAACGAGAGATGGAGCTGGATGGACTATCTCCACGAAGAACTTCTCTACCAAGTGCAGATCTCCATCGTCGGCGGAGGCTTTGTTCGCTGCGAAGGCCAAGGCCAGTGCACGGCCAAACCCGCGGGACCCTCCCGTCACCAGCACAACCCACGCCATGACGAATGCGAAGGTACATTTATCCGGATACGTTCCATCAAAATCAATGATTTGCTAAATAGTTTTGGATTGCGAAACAATTAACCGGATATTTGCTAAATAGTTGTGGATCGCCAAACAATTAACCGGATATTACGAAACTATGAGTTTCGCATTTGTTTCGTGAATCATCTTGGGAATAGTTCGAGATTGCGAAACACCGTATCCGGAGGATTTCATTTTAATGGTAAACTATTTTAGGGAACTCTGGTCGAAATAAATTGCGCACTGCACATAAAATTGAGGCAGCTGTAAAGTCTGTTCCTCATCACGATCGCCAAACGTTGCGTTCCTTGGCAGCGAACAGCCACCTGCCCAAGTCGACCATTGTCCGGCATATGAAAGAGGAGGCCCGCTTAAAGGCGCGGTCAAGCTACGTCAAACCGCTGCTGACGGAGGTCAACATGGTCGCACGTGTGGAGCACTGCCTCCGGTTCCTCCGGAGGATGCCTGGTGGTGGTCGTGTGTTTGAAAACATGCATGACTATGTACACGTAGATGAAAAGTGGTTCTTTTTGACCAAAGTGAAACGACGCTTTTACGTGTACGACGACGAGGAGCTCGCCCTGCGCTCCGTGAAGTCCAAGAGGTTCATCACGAAAGTGATGTTTCTTGCCGCCGTCGCCCGACCACGTTACGACCACCACACGAAGAAGGAGTTCGACGGCAAGATTGGCATCTGGCCATTTGTGGAGCACATCTTGGCCAAGCGTAGAAGCAAGAACCGAGCTCGCGGCGCCCCTGTCATCCCACCACAGACAGTTGACTCCGGCGTCTACCAAGCTGCCAATTTGGAAAAGGTCACCTCAGCCATCAAGGCGAAGTTCCCTAGGACATCTCAGAGGAGTGAGATTTATATCCAGCAGGACAATGCGAGTCCCCATCGCTGTGTCACTACTACGCTGATGCTGTCAATGGGCATTCAAGGTATTTCGATCGCGAACCAGCCACCAAATAGTCCAGACTTCAACGTGTTAGATTTAGGATTCTTTAATTCTATTCAAAGTCTGCAGTACCAGAAGTGCACTCGAACGATCGAAGAGCTTATTGGTGCTATGGAATCGGCGCTTCATGAGTTACCCTCCGCGACGCTCTCTAAGACATTTATTACTTTGCAAAAGGTAATGGAATTGTCTATGGGTGTTCATGGAAGCAACGCATATAAACTACCTCATATGAACAAGGACGCAACAATTGAGAGCCTGTCTGGCTATAATGTTGAGTGTGATCCAACGTCGTACGAGAGCGCATTGATCCACTTGAATAATCATCTTGCGGAGGAAGCTTCCATGGATGCCCAGTTGAATTCTCACACATAAGTACCTGGCAATAATAAAACATGATTCATTAAATTTGGCTCAAATGTATGCGTTTCCAAAGTCAGGTGTGCAAATATTTAGGACCAGAGTAGTACCAATTACAACTACGTACTTCGAAGTAATACTGGGAACGACGTTGAATATGCACGTAGCCCGTCAATCTGATTGGACGGAGGTAAATGACAAATCATCCAATCGGGTAAAACGTATTTAAATAAATTTGTTTCAGAAATTTCTTCGCATCAGTATAACTTATTAGAGTATATAGGAAAATGGAGTGTTTATAGTTCAAATTAGGATGAGCTTCACCGAATAGCTAAGGGCTCCTCTGGATACCACGTCATAAAATTATGCCATAAATGGGTTTTGAGATTTTGCACTTTTTGACCAAAATACCAAAAAACAATGTTTGAGAAACCGTCTGGATCCACATGATGCGCGCAATAAAATTTCGATGAAATTTTATTGCGCGCGAAAGTTACACGCAGCTCAGATGAACCTACAACTATGTGTGCTCCGACAGCGCATTCGGCGTCGTCGAAGGCGCTGTCTTGACTGGGGCCATGTGGGTGTCTGAAATGCTCGAAGGCAACGAGATGCCTTCATCGAAATCTTTCGGCATTCCGTGGACTCGACTTCGACCTCGAGGAACGAGATGCCTCCATCGAAACCTTTTGGCGATTTGCGCGGCCACTGCGCGCACCTTTCCCAACCACGACCGCTTGGTGCACAAGCTCCTTGAGCCAGGAGATGTCGAGGTCGTCCGTCCAAAGTCCCATGATTCACTCCTGAGGTTGACAGCGATCTTTCGAAATGCGCGATTTTCGACGAAACTGGTTTGATAGACTGTCTTTACATGAGAAATGGACCTTTTCGGTCTATTTTTTCATGCCATAATTTCGTCCTTTTTGGCCTTCAATTTTGGAATAAAAGCATTGTATTTTGTTGTATCCAGACGACAAAAATTGACGACTTTGTCATTTCTACATTTTATGGAGAAATTCGCTATTTTATGACATAAAATGTGGCATCCAGAGGAGCCCTAAGACATTTTGACAGAAAACATGTTATTACAGGTAATTCATTATGTAAATTATTGATTTTAAAAATTACCTGCCATATCTTATTGGCCGACAGAGGGGGCAGAATGACTTGTCAAAGCATTGGTCAAGTTAAAACTGCAACTTTGAGTCTTAAAATAAAATAATCGTTAAATAATGTATAGCATTACGACATGAGCGGTACCATTTATTAAAATTATTGCGAAATTCTTACTATAATAATATTCTACATTACTATAATATTACGTTTGTGTTCAAGAATCGTTGCTTGCGAACGTAGAGTTTCTCAGTTGGACCTTCAAGATTTTGCATGCAGAATATGTGGTTGGTGATGAAGACATTGTGAAAAACAGCATCAAAATCGGCTCACTGGAAAATTTCTTTGCATTCGTTCCGCCCAAACGGACAGTATGGCGAATCGACCGCGCCAACTTCGAAGTACGAAGTTTTCCAATCGGAGATCATCCATCGGTCTCAATGAGATAACCTTGCCTTGCGAGCGAGGATGCTGTTTATGTTGACATAGTAAGCAGGACTAAAGACATTGACGATGGCGGGCCAAAATCAGAGGGTTTGTTGGTAGTCAATGTTGGACAGGGAACCTATTCTTTGTATCGTCGTTATTCCAAGAGAGGTACCGCAACAAGAAATGCACGTCCTTTGTCATGAGGTTTATAATTACACGGTCAAACTTGCAAGCATTCAGGCCGCTCTAGTCACCATAGAACAGATGGACGAGTAGCTCGTTCGGTCAGCAGTCGCTATGACAGTGAGCTTCTGGACAATGTTCGGTCGATGCGGCGTTTGATGCGCTGCAATGGTGTCTGGTGATGCAAGTCATTTGGTTTTCAAATTCAATTTTGGGGGTCAGTGGCACTCGACTTTTATTATTATTCTGCCGCCATCGAATGAGCCAATCAGAATCTTGATATATTATTTCGATGATGTGATTGGTTAATTCAAAAAATATTGCGCCAAAAATCTCACGTTCTTATTCAACGTCGTTCCCTGTACTAGTAGTACTTTCACTAGAATCATGCGTAGCCTAAGGTTATGTACATACCAGCGCCGTTATGCCATCCTAACCAACTATGACGAACTCAACTACCTCTAGACATATAATGTACACTCCATGATACTCCCGTATATACTATATATGATACCATCACAATCACCAAAGTCCAACCTTGCCTGCCTCGTACAGCAAACTACTAGTGTTAAATAAGTTGACTTCTACTATATATATCGGTCACGCGACGTCCCCGTGTGCTTCTGGAATCGACGGCGGCACCCTCGCCTTCTTCTTGTCTATCCCACTTGACGATGAGCAGAACGAGTCGCTGTTTTGGTTGGACGCATGCTCGTGGTCGGCCAGTTCCTTTCGCTTCTCTTCGGATCGCTTCCCTCGAATTTTCTTGACAATGTCTTGGGCGTCGCCGGCCTTGAGCGAGCTGAACTCGAGTCCTTTTTGCTGTTTTTGCTGTTGCTTGGAGCTAGCCAGCATGTCCATCCGTTTCTTCGTCTCGGCTTCGCGCCGAATCTAACAGATATATATCGTCAACAAATCAAGTTTTGATACACCAATAGACAGGGTATGGACTACCCGGCGCTCTTCGGCGATCCGCTTGCGCTCGTTGTCGCGATCCGCTGCTTGCAACATTTGGGCAAAACTCAAAAATATCGAGAAAAATGAGTCGGGACCCATGCCCGCGGCGTCGGGGTCTTCGCCAAACCACGTCACACACGCGTTAAAGTCGGCTTGCATGGCTTCAAATTCCGCCGCAATCGCTTGAGAAATTTCTTGTGCTTTCTCTGCAAACTACAACAGACCAGTCGTGAATCAATCCTGCAGTCTGGATATATATATATATACTGAGAGAGAGAGAGAGGAGCTAATACAGTGTACTAGGTATCCGCGCATAATATATCATATTGAAACCATTTTTGTCCATTTATTTGATTCGATATTAAGAGTATGGAGCTATAAATAAAAAAAACCACCTCGCAAGCCAATCGAACGACCAATCAAAACTCACACAACACGAATCAAACGACCAATCCAAACTACTTCAAAAAAAACAAAGGGAATCCGTGTGTGCCTTCAATTAGTGTTAGACAACAAGGGCTATACAATACACACATATAGATACAACGTCGTTTATCCGTACCGGGCTAATCGCATCTTGGAACTTGTCGTTGTCGGCGATATTGGGCAGTTTCTTGTGCACGTCGAGCTCTTGAACGGCCAAGTCAGCCGCCTTTCGGATGGCTGCTTCGCCTGCTTTGAGCACTTGGTGGGTCACGCGACTGGCTTCTTGGATCGATGGAATTGCGTCAATAAACGTCAGCCACGTGGCTTCTTTTTCGCGCAAGATCTTGGCAAGGTAGTTCAACAAGGTCATGCTGTTGTCGGCTGCTTTCACTTGGACGAGTTTGAGAAGGATGCTCAGTTTGAACCCGGATGCCGCCCCTAGAATTTTTTTTTATAAATATATATATATATATATATCAAGGAAATATCAAGCGATCTTATATATATATATATACCTCGAGCAGTGCCTTCGTTCAAAGCGTTCCCCAATTGCAACACTAAGTTGAGAATACCCGGAATGGCTTCGTTCGTTTTCAAATCGTTGCAAGTCGACACGACGCTCGTGATCAAGCGGCGTTGGTCCTACCAGTTGATCCAAAGTATAAATTCAATATATCCATATATATATATAATATTATATATTTATATATAGAAAACCCCAAACTAGGTTTGATTCATGCATTACCTCGACGTTGGAATCGAATTGCATCGTGGCCAACAACGACTGCAGTCGAGTTTGAAAGCGAGGGACGCCCGCTATCGCAACAAAATACTGTTCGGCATCCCCCAACAGCTTTTGATCCCCCGTATATCTACACAAACCACATCACACTATATATATATATATATATATATATATATATCGTTCGTACGCGGTGACGGTGGCCATTTCGTCGCCTTCGGGTGCAAACTGAATCAGTGCCGCGACTTTTTCACTGGTTAAAATATCGCGGTCAATCTCCAAGATGGCGCGTTTGATTTCCGCATACGGCAACCGGAACCGCGCCAGCATGATCCCTTGTCCCGAGTGTTAGCCATATATATATATATATAATTTCATTCAAACATAAATAAAAAATATTCCTAAAATAGGCGGTAAAATAATAAAATAAATAATAAGTCTTGTATAATCGAAATTTTTTGGTGAGTAAAATGGGTAATGAATTATATATACATAAACTCTCAGGTACCAAAGGCTCAGTGTACCAAGAAACCAATCCATATATATATATATATATATATAAACCACCACTCGATCGTATGGATTGTGTTGGTGTACCAATGTTGTTGGCGCGCTTAACATCGATAAGTCCAATGCGCGTAGCCGCCTTCTTCTTCATCCCGGGCTTCTTGGCCGTCTTTTCCTTGCTGGGCGGCGGAGCACTCGCGAATAAAGTCACGAGGTCGTTCAAGTGTTTCGTGTCGGCCGGTCCTTGGTCGCTGGGGCTACAAGAAAAAATGATATTATTGTTTTCGATGATATTATGTTAATTTCGAATTATTCATGGAGAGAGACATTAAATTATTAGCCTATATCTGCTGTTTTTATCGGTCGACACTCGAAATGGAATTGTAGCCAGTCACAACACAATGAAATTTCACTCGAAAGCACAATAAGTGTCCACGAAAGAGATCATGTACAACATACACGAATCTCCGATATATTTTTATCATTCATACATAGGATTCTTGATTTTTTAATATCACCCATATACAAATAAATAAGTGTGCTGTTCCATCCACACGGGAATGATTCGTGTGCATATGGTAAATAAATATCTACTACTATATATAGTCTGTTACCATGCATTATATCTACACATTATTCAACCTGAAACCTCAATAGACTAAGGCAAGCACCACCACCCATAAGTCCACGTTCTATCTGATCGGGCCATATATAAATATATATATATATACTCGTACGCGATGTTGGCCCACAACGACGTGGTCTGAACCTCGGCCTGCACGGGTTCCCAGTACAAGCTGCGTAGTTTGGGTTTGGCTTTGGCTTTGGCGACAACCTTGAGCACGTTCGCGGCTCCCCCCAAGGACCCGTTTACAGCTGGCTTCACAATGGCGTCGGGGGTAGAGAGCAAGGCAAAGGTGAGACCTTCGGCTTTCATTTTCAGTTCGATTTGAGGCGGTGGCATGCCCATCTTTTGCAGCTTGAGGTACTTGGCGTAATCAGGGTGGTCTTTCACCATGATAGGGGGGGGCGGCGTCGCGTTGTCGGCGACTAGGGGGATCATCGTATCTGGCGCGCCCAACAGGTCGGCATTTAGCCCTTCGGCCTTCATTTTCAGTTCGATTTGAGGCGGTGGCATGCCCATCTTTTGCAGTTTAAAGTACTTTGCGTAGCTCGGGTGGTCGGCTGCGCGCACCTCCTTCGGCTGCATCGGCTCTGTTGTCGACGTTAAATCTTCAGCAAGCATGGCGTCTGGTGTGTCGAGAATCGCCGTGTTCAAGCCTTCGCTCGACGCTTTCAGTTTGATTTGCTCCAGCGGCATACCTATCAAATATGTATGTGACACCGTGTCATCACAACAAGAACACCAACATACTCGAATCGACAAGACTACTACTACTACTATATGGCGTACGTACCCATTTTCATGAGCTTGAAATACTTTGCATATGCGGGATGGTCTTTGGCTGCGACGAGGGGGGCGGCGGCGGCGGCGGCTTCGACTTTGCCGGCGTCGTTGACGACAGTGTGCGGGGCCGCAAGCAACGCAGGGTCGAACCCGTCGGCTTGCATCTTGAGCTCAATTTGCGGCCCGGGCATGCCCATCTTTTGCAGTTTAAAGAACTTGATCAACGCCGGGCACGCGTCCGCCCGCATACCGCCATCGGCAACCACCTTGACATGGCCATCGTCGCCGACAAGCGTGTCGGGGGCCACGAGGACCGCCGGGTCGAACCCTTCCGCCTCCATTTTCATCTGAATCTGGGGCACCGGCATGCCCATCTTTTGGAGTTTAAAGAACTTGGCCAACGCCATGCACTCGTCGGCGCGCCGCGTCGTCCCATCCGAACGCTCTGGAGCCACTACGGCTTTCTTTCCCGCGTCGTCCACAATAGTCTGCGGATGCGAAAGCAGGTCGCTGTCAAACCCTTCCGCCTGCATCTTGAGCTCGATCTGGGGCACCGGCATGCCCATCTTTTGGAGCTTGAAAAACTTGATCAGTGCCGGACACGCGTCCGCGCGAACGCCCATGGCCGCCGCCTCCTTGTCCTCCCCTTTCTCGGATGTGGGAACCACCTTCTGGCCATCGTCGCCCACGAGCGTATCCGGAGCGAGTAGCAGGTCGCCGTTGAACCCCTCCGCTTGCATCTTGAGCTGGATCTGCGGGGGTGGCATGCCCATCTTTTGGAGCTTGAAAAACTTGACTAGTACAGGACACTCGTCGGCTCGGATCCCACAAGGAACCGCCGCATCACCACCACCACCACTATTGTCCCCATCCTTGTCCTACACATTGAATATTGAGGTCAACCTCGATATCGACGCTGCTCTGAGATCGATATATATATAGCTCAGTTTATTCAAAACACTGGAGATATCGTCATATCAAATGTTTTTACTCGATATCGACGCTGCTCTGAGATCTATATATATATATATATATATATATATATATATATATATATATATTGTTCAGTTTATTCAAAACGCTGAATATATTGTCATATCACATGTTTTTACTCGATATCGAAGTTGCTCTGAGATCGATATATATATATATGTTGTTCAGTTTATTCAAAACGCTGAGTATATCGTCTTATCAAATGGTTTTATTCGATATCGACGCTGCGGTGAGATCGACATATATATATATATATTGTTCAGTTTAGTATGGATTCTGTTGCATGCGCAGTCTGATTCAACAACCATGGACAGTATATAGTGTGGATTGTAGAAACACACATGATTCGTGTGTGACAGAAATTAGTGTGATCTTAAATCCTCATACAACTCTCAGACCTAGAAATACATATCCAAGTCCACGATTTCCTCAATAGATCCATCATATACTAACAACTACACAATATTTTCAAAGCGCAGAACTACTAATACTATTGCCAAGAACGGTTCACCCAAATTAAATCGAAGGAATACAATCATATCGATTGGCCAATCAAAAACCCCAAACTCGAATCAACGTGGCCAATCAAACGTTCCGTTGACACCATTCAACCTCGACTTGCATGATTTATATTAGTATAAATGTACATATAACCGTCCAACTCCTATATACGATATCGAGTGTTGTTTGGGTACTCCATCGAATGAGCAGCATAACCAAATCGACAGGCAATCGATATATCATCGACCAATCAAAACCCAGATCACGCATATCAAGTACCCAATCAAATCATCATCCACTCTTCAACCAATATTCAACATCAAGTACAATGATTCGTTATATTTAGCGAATCAGCAACACTACTACAGTCGACCAAATTATTATCTTGGGTAAAACAAAGACTACAACACACACACACATGACTCCTATACATTCCGTACCGAGTTGACGGGAATCCATTTATCTGGCGTGGCCAGCAGCGCGGGGTCCAGCGCCGGGTTTTCCGCGGCCATCTTGATGTGGACGTGGGGAAGCGGCATGCCCATACTGACTAATTTGGCGTATTTGCGGTACTCATCGTGGTCTTTCACCATGATTCTTGTTGGTTTGGGTTTGTCAAGCAGGGCCATGTCGAGGTTTTCCAGCTGCATTTTTATGGCCAAGTGGTCGATGGGCATGCCCATATCGCGCAGTTTCCGGAACGCTTCTAATCTCGCGGCAATCTCATCGTCCTCCTCGCTTTCCTCTGACGTCGACTCCATGTCCGTGTCAGACATCAAGTCATCGCTGTGCAGTCTATTTTCCATGAGCGCGATGGGAATTCCCATATGCCGAACGCCATGATCAGGCTCATGCGTGGCCAAAAACGAAGAAAACTTGTCTCGGGCCTGCATGAGCATCTTGCGGTCGTGAAAGCTGAGCTCGAACTGCCGGACCTCCTCCACGGGCGACAGCAGCGCGATGTCCTTGGTCACGCGCTCGCACATGGCCCACATCTCCTTGCCAAGCACGGTTTTTTCTGACGGCAGAAATAGCAGTTGCTGCAAGATCGACAGCAAACAGTCGCGTGTAAACTCGTCGACGGCAACTCGGCCCAACAGAGATCGCCACACAGACTCCATACAGCTCAAGTCTGTGCTCCCATACAGTGTGTCCTTGCGATCGTCGGCCATGAACAGCTCAAACACTTCGATCTGCTTTTCCACGTTGTCCAGCTGTTCGCGGATCTGAAGCTGCACAGGCGACTCGTCCATGGCGAAATACTCGCCATCTTCGTCGCTTGCATGATCCTCCTGATCGTCGTCGTCGTCTGGAATAGCGTCGAGGGGGGCCGTTGTCGTGGGCGTTTCTAGAGCAACTTGCCGAGCAACGGGGGGGGCGGACGACGAGAGCAGCGGCGATGCACCCGCCAAATCATCCCCTACCAATACATGGGGGGTTGAAGTGGCAGAACCATCAAATGCATGTGGAGATGCAGCAGCGCCGCCCGGCACATCTGGCAAAAACACCAGCAACGGCTCCACGTTCTCCTCTGTGGGACGAGTTGCTTTGCCTCCGGTAGTTGCCTTGTCATGTGCAAGTGTATTGGCCTCGTCCACGCGAGGTAGCACGCTGTCGTCGTTACTAGTATGAGGAATCGTGTGCACCGGGGCACTGGTGCTGGATCGGGTGAGTGCCAACGGAGGTACTGGCAGCGTGGGGGGCGTCGTAGCCGATGCTTTGGGCTTTTTCGACTTTGCTGGGGCTGCTGCGTGCTTCTTCTTGATCTTGGCCGCTTGCTTGTACATGTTGTTGGACTTGGCGCGGATTTCTTCGAAGTACTCGCCGATCCCGAGCGACATGAAGTCCTGCCGGATGGCTACGCGAGACTCGACCCGGAGGCCCTTGTTGACCAGGATATTGATAAAACTCAGCACATCTTCCTTGAACAATAAGTTGTATCGCGTCGACTTGAGTGCATCGCGCAAGCATGTGAATCTACACATCAAAACGATTATATATATATATACAGGTTATTCACGATATAGATATGATAGATTATATTATATGTGCATCACAAATGTGGAATTGGACACCCATGGGTTCATGTATTTGAATGCATACAAATAATGCATGTCCTAGTGATCTCGATATGTGCTTTTGAAGGGACGACGATTTTTTCAGCAAAAGTACATATATATATTGTCAAATCGATTCGACATTGGAGTGGGGCGGTGGTGTTCAATCCCAACGAGCACCACCAAATCGACAGACAATCGACCGACCAATCAAAACTCTGAACACTCATCAAGTAGCCAATCATCAAACCTCTGCAACTACCATTGAAATAGTGCACAGTATTTAAATCCAAAAGAGAATATCCATTTGGCATAACCCAAGTTTGTCGTGGTCACGCACGGCATACAACATATATATATATATATATTGTGTGTTCAAAATTTCCTCCGTTGGCGGTTGGTTGAATGAACCGCAGAACAATCGCCGGACCTTTGAAATTTCATATAAAACTAATTTGAAGAGGTATCTTTGTGACTGCAATACTACAATCAATATTTTTAGCCAATCAAATTGCAACCTTCATTCTTTGTAGCCAATCATACTCCTTTGCTCGAATAATTGACGATTTCATCAATCCCCCAAAATAGGCAAATTTGACTGAAAAGCACAATATATGCACTTCAAACAATCCATTGCATCGATACGTATGTAACTCATGGTATTGATATATTTAAAAAACAAGTTTTAGATATATATAAATATACCGTACAAGTGTTTTCGATATATATAAATATATCCTTCATATACAGAAACAAAGACATGCATCAAACGATCACAAGTCCGTACCGCACGCGCTCGCCTTTGGCTTCCATGTACTGACCAAAGCTGTGCACAACTGACGCATGTCCTTCGGCGCTGTTGTAGCAGATTATGCCGAGGATTTGGAGCGTCGACTTCTTCACGTCGGCGTTGTCTGTGTGAAAACACAGCGCCAGCCGGTCCACCAGGCCCAAAGTCTGCGTAATCGCGTCGATGCCACTGGCAAAGTGGGAAAGCGACAGCAAAATCTTCAAAATTACTTCGCAGAACCGCGATGCCTTGTCAAACTAGTAGCCGAAAACGTTGTAAGATTAGAATATATGATGGAAACGTGGTGGCTACTATTGTTTACAACGACTCATGCAGAAAGATTAGTCTATTAAGTCATGCAACATGCAAAGATATAAAGCATGCTAAAGAGTGAGCAATGTTACTGCTATGAGTCGAGGGTTTGTAGGGCCATTTTGACTATTCTAATAGGTTTTACAAATATAATGAGCAACTTGATCAGAATTATAAAAAACAAAAATAGGAAGAAAAAATATTATGAAGACACAGAACCATAACAACAACAAGAACACCGAGATCTTTCGTCACAACGTTCTTCTTCCTTGGCAAATATATTTATATATATATACTATCTCCTTTGTCAGTGGAATATATCAGTGGAATATAATATATAGATATATTATATATTCCACTGACAAAGGAGATAGTTTGTGGGGGAGCTACATTACTCTCTTTTTTTCCTTGGTAAATATATATATATATATTTGCAACACAAATATACCGATTTGTAAAAATGCTCAATCGAGAACGGCGACGGCTCGGGCATTTTCATGGCAAGGTAGTCCAACCCGTACGACACAATGAACTGGTCCGTCCACTCGGGTGTGCCCGCCGCGATTTTGCGCTGGAGCGTCTCGAGCACTTGAAGTCCGCGGTTGTCCCAGTTGAGTTCCACGAGTGCTTCGGCCAGCTTGATCGCATCGGCAATGTACACTTTGTTGTCGTCGTTTTCGTTTTGCTTGGCGCTACTCTCCCACATATATATATCCATATATGAGTTATACGGCACAAAAGACTATATATATATATATATATCACGAACGATGGGGGGCGACGAGAATACCAAATTTATATTAGATATTTTACTAGATAGATCATGTATTATATATTATGTGCATATGATATACATATCCAAATGGGAAGGCAATACGGAATATATTGAAATATATACGACGGGATACGATTTGTGCAGGCATCGCTATATACGAATATTATATATACTGTGTACTTTTAGCCAAGATTTGGATATTTCATTCCCATAAACCATCGGTCGATCTTTTGTATTGAAATTGTAAAACTTATGAGGCCATACACACTATTTGAAGTCACACCCTAATTCGATGGTTGAAGGAGTTTGATTGGCCACTTGAAAGTGTTCTGCCTTTTGATTGGCCGATGGTGATTTGGTACTGCTCATTCGAGCGAGCACCCCGCTCCAAAGTCAAATATCAACTTGACAAGATATCACGCCAGAACAGTGTAATGGTAAAAAATACATCCACCACGCCATACGAAACCGGAAATATATATATATATATACATCAAAGCACACGGAATAAAAAACATGTGATATATATATATATATATATATATTTACGTAAAACACGTGATATACATATATATATATATTTACGTAAAACACGTGATATATATATATATATTTACGTACGACCACACAATGTGCCACTTTTGGTCGAGCTGTTCGATACGCACGAGCTCGTCGAGGACGTCGTCTGGGACGTTCCGCTTGACCAGCAGATCGCGGTACATTTCATTGACGAGGTCTTCTGACGGCAGCGGGGGGGTGTGAACCTTGGGGCGCTTCGATTCCGTGGGGAGGCGGTCCTTGAAGAACCCGCGAAAGTAGTTGAGCTTGTCCTGGAATGTCCCGTCTTGCGCTGCGACAAGGGGGGCGGTCGACGGCGCGGCGTTGGACGGCGCGGGCGGGGACGAGAAGCCCGCCAACGACATGCTCGTGTTGCGAAGGAAGCTGGTAAACGTCTGTGCTTTGGGCTTGACTTCGAGCTCCTACACGATCGTGGTTGATTGCTTGGCACGAAGGGAGGGATGGTGATGGAGGGGGAATGGACACGAACCTCGGCTTCTCGCCGGAATTCGAGACGCAGCGGCCATGCCGACAGATCGGACTGAAGACTCGCCGCCAGCTCGACGATGGCGTCGAAGAGCATGTCGTCGACCTTGCACGTGTGCATTTGCATCAGAATATCCTTTTCTTTGACGCGCCCTGTGAGCTACATGCATCCATCTCCCAGTGAGTATGACTACACCCTACCCATGGATATTGTTGGTTGCACCTCGATGAAGCCCCGTTTGCCATCCTTGACCGGCCGGAACCCTTTCACTATGGCGCCTGTCTGGCCTTGGGCGCTCGTGACGTTTCGAGCGCGAAGGTCAAGACCGAGGGGTCCGCGCTCGGGCACTTGGACAGTGAACACGAGTGCGCGATGACCCGAGTTTGTGTTGGAGTAGATGCTTCGTAAGGAGGGATTCACGCCTGCATCATTCGCAGACGAGATCGAGTTGGAGCGCCGCCTAGAGCGTCACAAGTGTGGCATGAGACATCGCTGGAGGGTTGAGGAGGATGGGGTGGTGGACTATACAAGGAGAGATAGTTCATCGCTCGTTGCCAAGGTCGCGCCGCCTTTTCTGTTCACTAGGAATGAAATCACTTCTGGGGGTGGTCCATTATCCGGATAATTATATACCACCCTCCTGTAAGTTGCAACATTAGCTTGATGTTTGTATCAAAGATTAAATATTCCAATAGTAATTTAGTCCATGTGGAACAATTGTCAATGGCCACCTGCCCCAACACATGGAAATGGCGGCTGAAGGCAACCCCGGTAGATGAGCTCATTGGTGTGTTGCTGATCCAAGCGCCGTGGCACAATCGAGCGAGGTGGAGGAACCAAGGGTGCATCTTTCTGCGCCAGCGTACTATAGTCCCTCGCGAGGTGTGTGTATGTCAGTCATGCACGCGCAGAGTGCGGCGTACTGTACCACGCGAACAAGTGGCTTTTGGCAATGAAAACCTGTTTCCGGTGTCGATGAAGGAAGCTACAGTACTGCTTCAGTCGCACGTTGTTCATGTAGCCGTCAATATGTACGACTTGACGTAACGTTAGGATGCTAGCATCATAGCATCGCACTGGTCACTGTCGCCATCGTTCCAACTTATCCCCATATTCCGATGCACAGCGTCATCCCCGTTGTACCAAACATCCGAATGAGGCTGTCATGGCTCTGCTACGATGCCTCGCCACGTCGTCACTTCTACTACTTGCCATCATTGTTCCTTTTGCCACGAACGTACTACTTGGTTCCATGCGCCCCTCCACGTTCTCCCTTCTCAGCGTCGTGTCGGTCGTTGTGCTCGCGCATTCATGGCTCGGTACATAACACTCCGCCACGCATGCATCACCTTTCCATTCAATTCCCTTGTTCCACTACCACATGTCTGTTGTAGAATGCACCAACTACGACCTCCAAGGCCCGACGAACCATCTGTACTGGAACAAGTCGGCTTGTGCTGGCCTCGCACGCTGCGGGGCTCGCCAGGCGCAGGAGGGCTTTGGCGTGGATACGGGGTTTGATTTCCGTCCGGAGGTGGCCAAGCGCACGTGCCAGTGCGCCGCCGCCGGGGCGTACGACACCCCCGGGGCTCGCATGGCGACTTACACCCCCGGCCAAAAGGTGTGTTTGGCGTATCCGGCCAAGAACCACGTCGCAGATGTCTGCACCAACGAGTACATCCCGGACACCGGCGTGCGCATCTTTCGGACCCAGACGTGGCCATCGACGGCCGTCAACGTGACCGACCCGCCGCTGCGCCAGTGGCCGGTGGAATACGCCCAAGCCAACGGCGCCCACGTCGCAGGACATGTCGATTACAAGGGGTTCCAGAACTGCCCCAAGTTTTGCGAAGACAAGGGGCGGGCGCTGTGCACCATGTGCTTTCAACTGGAGAAGGACATTTCCCCTGGCAAGTACACGTTCCAGTGGCAATGGATGTTCAACTCGATCAACGATGTTTACGGCAGTTGCTGGGAAGCGAATGTCGTGTAAGTCGGCGGGATGGGACTGCTTTGCTCAGTAAGTTGGGGAATGGCTTGTATCAACAACCCTACAAGGGTGAGCTTGAACATGCAATAAGCTGAGGGTAATACTACTAGACCTTTTTTCACTAAACGTTTTCGCGAAATAAACAACCAATTCGCGGCGGTTCCACTTCATTCGTTGCATATTCGCCTGCAATTAAGTACAGTCCTACAAGTAGGTTGCAGTATATTTCAAGCGACGTTCGTTATGTGTCACTGTGTATGCGCTCAATTCAGCGAGTGGTATACAAGTACTGTATGTGCCATGGAAGTATAACGTTATGTAAGTGGCAGTGGATTCGCTACATGTGTGATGATTGATTGTCCTTTGACCCAAAGTTTGGACTTTTGTGCTGATTCGCCAAATCTATAACGATAGATGATCGATTCTTTGTCCTTGATTTTTGTATGTAAAGATCGTCAAGTATCACACTAATCTCAGTCACACACTAATTCCATGTTAAATTCGTCGAAGTTTGGCCATAAGTGATCTGGGTTTTCATTGGTCAATTGATTGTCTGCCGATTTGTTGCTGCTCATTCGAATTTCGAATCGACTTGACAATACTTTACACTTTGTTAGCATCATCATCGATTGTAGAGAGAGCATCGATTAAAGAACCGCCTAAGCCAATCAAATCACGTCATGTCAAATTTCTTCCAATCCAAACGTTTAACCTTCTCCTTATGGGGCAAAACCACATATATATTAATTGTTGTAAAGGATAGGGTGTACAAGATTAACTGTAAATAGGATCAAATGGATATTCGAATGAGATTTGGTGAAATGACTCTCATGTCCAAATCTGGGTGAAATGCACAATAGCCATCACGACGAGATGACCATGTCGTCAACATTTATACACATGAGTATTCAGGAGTATTCAGGTTGTCCCCATACCGACCTACTTTACTACTATTACACATCGGACCACCATTATGCTCGCGTTGAACGAGGTAGGGCCAGGGTACATGTAATGGCGTTCCTTGTCGATAGCCGCGGCCACTTGTGCCCAGTCGGTTGACGTTAATTGCGTGGAAAGTGCCACGGCGACCGCATTTTCGACAATTCTCACCGATGACTTAGTACCGAGGAAACACGTCATCGCCTTGAGCGTGCACCCATCCTAGCGTGAGCTGGGAAGGGTTGACGCTCTTGGCCTTAGCCAGGTTAAAGAACCGAGCGACCTTGGCTTTGCTTTGGGCCAACGATTCTTGGTTGGAGCGTCCGATCGTTGTCTTCGAGCTTGTCAAAGGCATCGATAGCCCCGAGGAAGCCCCGGCACATGGGCGAGTACGCCACGATGCCCACGCCAAGTTCTCGCGCGGTGGGGACGACGTCCGCCTCCGAGTAGCGGGACTGGAGCGACCATTCCATCTGGATGGCAATGATGGGGTGCACGGCCCGGCGCAGTTCGCGGGGGGTGCATTCGCTCAACCAACCCCACTTACTTGATATTGCGTTCGTCGACGAGAGGCTTGAGCACCGCCATGGTCACTTCGATGGGAACGGAGGCATCGATCCATGCGATGCATGTAGTACAAGTCTATGATCGTCGTGCCCAATCTCTCCAACGAGTCGGCCAGTTGAAACCGAATCGTGTTTTCAGACACTTCAAAGCCCGTCGCACTGGGAACGAACCCAAACTTGGTGGCTTGTCCGGACTGTGCTGTTTGATGGATTGTTTTGCCAATGAGCTCTTCGTTGGTGAAGTAGCCGCCGCCACCGGCCCCAAAAGACTGGTAGATCCAAGCCGTGTCCAGCATGTTGACGCCCACCTCGAGCACTTTGGAAATGGTGCGGAGGGACTTGGCTTCTTGCGCCGCGTGGTCAAAGCTGCCGTAGAAGGCAGTCATTCCCATACACACATCCCAGTCCTGGGCAGAGCAGACGAGGCCTTGGGACGAGCCAAGAGGACGCTTTGGTATCCGAAGTGTATTGTTGATTATGTCTTGTTTGATTGGACGAATCATCAGCTGGCTTATTCTAACTATTAATAGTACCCTAGTACTACGTCGTAGTAACTTACTAGTAAGCCGAGCCTGAACAGTGAGTAAGTGCCACAACTCGTCTCCCTGTACCGACAACGTTATGATAAAAAAACGGTAGCTTGTTTCAACTTACGTTGCCTACAAGTCAATCGGTCCTACCTAGCACAGCTTTCATGTCGGCCACATTTACAGGCACTTGCACGACAACTCCATTCAACTTGAATCGAACGTTGCGGTATTCTCCGTCGTCGTTCGCCACGGGTGCCGCAGGTACTGCGACCTCCGACGTTGCATCGGCGGCACGCTCTATCGTAGAGCTCACCTGACTTCGGTTGCGGACGATCCCACGAGTTGACGACATGCGCTTCTGGGACTCGGACGACGACGGGCGATCTTTGCTCACGTACACAAACAAGTGCAGCTTGAACGATGCTTGGCCCGCGCTTCGTTGGGCACCGTGTCGCCATGTTTCTTGCATTTCGATCAAGTGGTTGGAGTGCGTGAGCAGGACGTAGTCCACTTGGCTCGTGTTTGACCCGGGCTTGAAGTAGATAGCCACGTTGTCGTCTAGGCGGACGTCAACTTCTTTCTTCACACCCTTGACCTTGCCCTGGTTGTAGTCGTCGGCAATTTGGCGGCAGTACACCGCCACCTTCTGCCGAAGCACGTCGAAACCTTCCGAGACAGTGCAGTCAAACTCTCGCTGGCCCAGCGGCGACCTCGCTTTACCCAGCGGCTCGCCAAGTTTCATGCTCAAAAGCACACGAAGGGTGGACGGAAATGGCAAACTTGGATGCTTCGCTCTCTTGGCGTTGTTGTCGCTGCTGTTGGTGCTGCCTTCGTCGCGATCGTTGTCGTGCTCCTGCATGGCCAACGACGCTCTCTTTTTCAATCGGAAGCAGTACGTACTGTACTGTTGTACTACGAAATATGGGGTCGAAGGGATAAATTAATATTATTTCCCAATGGTATTCCACTAAAATCAAGTGCTAATTAATTCTCCCCAAAAATTTTATATCTTCAACCCAATTCCATTTGACGGTATATTGAATATTACAGATATCATTTGTCGCAATTATTGGGAGTAGTGTGAATAACGTTACTGTGAAAAAAGTGATTTTCCAGTAACATATCACTCACATATAACATATACAGCTTACTATTGGTTCAAAACACATTCAGATCGACATGGGGTAACAATAACCAAGACTTTGGCACAAGCCATCCCAACTACTGTAGTACAGTAGCGGCCACGCTGAGCAAAGCCTCCCCAAGGACAAGCGGAGGACAAAAGGCAAGGCAAGTGCCAAAGGTTGAAGTTACAAGAGTAAAGTTCCATCTGTTGCCGCCCCTGTCATCCATGTTGACGAGAACGAAGCACATATCGAAGGAGAGGAACAAGATGCCAACTCGTTCTTTGATCATACGTCCGTCCCGGTATAGCCGCCAACGAAACCCAAGCAGACCAACATTCACCCAACGGACACTGCCGAGTCCACGGCCAAAGTCGATGACTTGGAGCCACAGCAGGCGCCGCTCCATCGCCGCAGGAGCGAAGATTTCAGTGCATTTGGGGAAGATGTGGTGAAGATGGAAGCTACGACACGGACGGGCGAGCCTTCGGCCGCCATGAAAGACTTTGCGGGAGCATTGATATTGATCTGGTGACGCGGCACATGGCCTTGTTGACGCCGTCACCGCCGCTCCATGTCGAGGACATTCCAATGCTGGACAACATCATGGACGACGAGCAGCATGCCGCCGTGGATACACAGACGTACGAGAGAGCGTGACCAGCGGGCATGATGTTTGGCAACGATGACAAGGACGTCGACCCCGACCAAACGACTTAGATCAGAGTAAACATCACTGCTGCTCAACAGCCTAGTAGTAGAAAGGCGATTATTAAGCGGACGGGACTACCGGTACGTATGTTTGCAAGTCGTGCACAATCGCATGAGCCGAACAGTTGATCGTAGGGTTTTCTACTATCGTTATTAAGTACTTCTAGTACAGTAGTAGTAGTAGACATTATTCATATTGTTATTCTACTAAAATCCTGGGGACCTTCCTTACATTCACAATAGCAACCCAGGAGCCTTTTCTGTAAGAGCCAATCAAATCCACGCCATGTCCTCACGCTTCATGTCCTCACCTCGTCAGAGACTTGTATAAAAACCAACATACGACATTTGGTCTTTGTATTGAAATGAAGAGTCATCTACCAATGAAAGGTACGAAGTATTGAACCTTTAACCAATAAGAGTAATGTCGGATAGAATTGTCGTATTCGGTAAGTTATCCATACATATCAATGCACATATTGCATTCACATACTACCAAATGATGGCAACTAATAAATCGAATGTGTAAAAGTGTATTTTCAATTTAGCGGTGAAGCAAGTGACGGATGAGGTCTATCATGTCATCAATTCTCTTTCTTTCGTCCTCGCGTTGCTGGATTCTTTCCATCCTGTCCTTTTCTCTTTCCTGTAGCTCCATCTCAAATTTATACTTCTTAAACTCGAGTTGCTCGTGTTCCAACGCAATTTCGCGATCTTGAGTTTCGAAAATAGCCTTTCGTTTACGACTTGCCACGTCGCTGTCGGTGGAATCGTCGCCTTCATTGGACTTACGGCGACCCCGCATCATCGCTTGTTCCCGCACATATCCCTCTGAGGCATAGTATAAACGGGACATTGTACTCGGTCACACAGATCGACCAATTCTTCGGACCAATACGCCATGCCAAAGCAACTGAGAGTGCTGTACCGAGTACAGAAGCCCCCTCGGCGGGTGTGTACAAAGCAGTCAGACCGTTTGCAACGCTGACCGCCTCCGTCGACCGAGCAGCGTTGTTTTTTTTGGGCGAATTTTGCACAGCCGTCTTCGATGCACATTTTGCAGTGGGCGAATTAACCGTGCTTCCCACAGAGGTCCCCCACGCGAACGTTTTCCTGGCAGCCTTCGTGGATACAGACCTTCTTGTCACCATGACGCACGCACAGGTTGCGCGCAAACTTGGTTGGGACAGTCGATGTCCATGGTCAACATAAACAGAACAATTCCTAGCACACCACAAAAACAATTGCATCGATCCTGTCATTCTACGTTTCCCCCGTACTCCCGGCCAACATGAAACCTGCTTCCATCCTCGTCCTCGCATCAACCGCGTCGGCTACCGACGTCGCATAATGGCTTCTACGGGAGGCGTCAACCGTGGTCGAATACATTGACTTGAGCGCAGGCGACTTCACCGTCCCCGAAGTGTTGAAGGGTTCATTTGATAACCAAGTCGCAGCGAAGAACGAATGGGACGTGGAAGCCATCGGTGCCCCCGAAGTCTGGTACTCACCCGGCAAGGGAACCGTCGTGGGCTCCATCGACTTGGGCGACCTGCATACGCACGAAACCACCAAGCACAACTGGTTGTCGGAATTGGGCTGACTCGATTTGTACGACCGGTCGGCGCTGCCCCACGTCACGTCCAGCTACGGCTCGTACACCATCGGCACGATATCGGTGCTAGTGGCATCGGTGTAGCCCCCACAGCCCAATGGATTGCAGGCTAGATCTGAACGGACACACCGGGTATACGGCAGATTTGTATGACTTTCACCTACCAAAAGACAATAGCAGTGATGTAAACGACTGTGAAATGGCACACATTTACAGGTAACTTTGCCCACGTACATATTTTCGTCCAACGACATCGATGCGACACCAAATCGCACGAGTTCAATTTTATGCAAGACCAGAGATGGTTTGTTAACCAATAAGCTATGGGCTGAACAGCTTTCAGCTGCAGCGATAAAAATTGAAATGCACCCCAGTCATTTCTTGATTTCCCCCATAAACGCCATGTCTTGCTTCTTCAAAGGGTGCGCGCGGCATGTATTGGAAGGCGCGGCCAAAACAATAGAGAGAGACCACGGGGTCCGCTTAGGAGTTCACTTCGTTGACAGAGTGAAACGGGAGTAGAAGAGGTTAGAAGGGGGGTAGCTCTCTGAGAAGATAAGAAACTGCCTCCGCCAATGGCCAAATATCCATGCGCCCGTGTAAAATACCACTAACGTTAGGTTAAATATCAATCTATTTCTGGACCAATTCATCACCAAATTTGAATCTGAGACGTAGAATTCCTTCACCACATTGAGATCTGTCGATTCAACGTCTTAATTTGCTGAAATTTTGAGTAATGAATACGAAATAGAAGTCAGAAAATTTTGTGAAAAGTTGGTAGTTTATAGGTGACGTGCATCATACTGTGACGAAAAACCCCTGAAAGCACTTTTACTTCATGCGCCTGTTGACTGTTTCGTGCCTTGTCATGATCACTTTGTGTCGTTGAGGGTTTCGCAGCAATCCTGGCGGATACACAAAGAAGTTCGCATCGCGGTACCCCTTGACGGCATATGCCATTTCACCCCTTTGCAACTTCGTAACGAACAAAGCGGAGGTCGGGTCAGGCTCCACACGGCACACCGCCATTGATCAACACTATGTTTCCGGTCCGAATACACACGCCAACTTCGTAACGCAGACCTGGTCCCTTGAACTTGTGAGAATACCACTTCTTGTCGAACGGCGTTGGTTCAATATATCTTTGATATATGCTTTGAACCACTGGACAGAGCGACGACTAGCCTAACTATATCCCTAACATTATAAATTACTCGGAGTAGTTAAATTTTGTAGTGATCATGGATGGGAGGTCATGTACGTATGTACATAGCTGCTTCAGTTTCATTGCGGCAA